TTCTGATACATAACGATTTAGTTTTACCAGTTATAACAGATTTTATATCAGTAGGGGGCAACGTTGTTGATTTTCAGCAATAGATATTAAAATAATTTTTCGTTTACTACTATACTACACTAACAAGTTGACAATGGTATATTATAGTATATTTACTATTTTTTTTTTTATTTATAAGAAATAATATTATATTTTACTGATAACAGGAACCGGTACCGAAATTATCTGGAACCAGTACCTTTATTAATTTTCATCATACAACCGGAACCGAACCGGAACAGTTATTTTATTTTCCGAGAACTAGTATCGGAACCGATACCTATAAATTCAAATGGTTCCAGTTCCTGGTTGAAATACCTGACCATTTATACGTTTATACACTACAAAATAAGACTAAATACTAAGTGAATGTTGTATACCAAGAATTTTTGACTTGACTCATTTCAGAAATGAGTAAGTCAGTATAGAATAATTTGTAAATATTCATAAATAAAGCTAAACTATACAAATTATAATTATAATTATAAACTAACTAATAACTAATATTTTCTAACTATAGAATCATTAGAATCATTTCTAAATATTATTATTACTATTATTATTATTTTTATTCGTAATTCAGCTCCTACTACTATTTAGCACTTGATCATATTAAGTAAATTAAAACAATTAAGAATTTAATTTAGAAAAAGCAAAAACTACACTCGAGCGAAGCCGGGTAATTCAGCTAGTTCCCGTATATTTTGTATAGACAACTAAATAATAAATATAAATAATAATAGTCTTAATTCATAGAAACGAGTCTAGATAGTAGATAATTATAATTATTATAACATACATAGTAACACAATGTATAAAAATATACTAAATAATATAGCTGTGAGACATAAGGTCTACTGTAAAAATTTATCATAGATGATTATTTATGTTTTTAGAAAAAAAAAATTAGAAAATTAATGAATATCTATATAATATATTAGGTATAATATGCATGAAATATAAATATTGAAAAAAAGGTTATGTGGGAGGATCTATCCCTGTCTGACCGCCATTGACCGCAGTAATAAGGGGTTTTATCGATTCGCAAAATGTAATAACAATTCCATCGGAAACTATGTTCATTTAAATTAGATAGTACCAATTAATTATCTCATCTTGTATTGGAGATAACGACTGTGTCTATTATAAAGATATAATATGGCCCATGAAACATTTTTGAACTTGACCAATAAACATTGTAAATAACTTAAGAACAAAAATAATAAAAATTGTGGCGTTCTAAAATAATTTCTTTGTTTTGCAAAATTATTTGTTGATGATAATAATATATTATTAATTTAAAAATTAATCAAAAAAAAAAAAAAGAAAAAACTTAAGTTTTTTAATATTAAAATGTATTATTTCAACAACCACTTATAAATCAAAAATTAATTCGGACATGCCTATTACAGATCTGTATGGTCATTAATTATCTAATTACGGACTCAATATTATTCATACGAAGTTATTATAATGAACACCATAGACCGTAGCCATGTACTAAGTAGTATAAAACTATTAAATATCTTTTAAACCTCGATTTTATCACCAACCACGTGGTATAATCGATCCAAAACTGCAGGGAATAATTTAATTAGTTTAAAATTTTATTGCGTAGGTATAAGTTTAATTATTTTAAATATTTACAATGAAAAAAAAACGATCTAATTAAAATTATATTTGAAATTGTTTTAAACATAAAACAAACTGTATTTAATAATATGAATAATTATGTGTACATATACGGTTAAAAAAAAAAACAATTTTATTATAATAATAAAAACGAAATAATTTATTTGACACAACCTCTCACTCGTTTCGGTGATGAATCATATTGACATACACAACGAATAAGGCAACTCGAAAAATGCAAAATCGAGATACTGCTATTTTGTAATAGACATTTGTTCGTGCTATCTCTTACGAAAACGGCAGTACCTGTATTATGATTTGAACACCATAAAATAAGTTTCAAAAATATATGGAAATTAGTGAAATCCCACGAAAAAAAGAAGTAACTTGAGTTACATCATTCTATAATACATTTTACCGCCAGAGATATAAATAATTTAAGATAATTCTTTTTTCTTTGGAATGTATTTCTCTTTTTGGGAGGCTTAGGCGCTACTAGGGTAAAAAATTTGGGAGGGGGCTACAGCTCTCCTACCATAACTTAAAATAACCTGCAGATTACTCTTACTCTTATATACCATGTTAATATATTTTAGATTCTGATTCCAGTTGGATTTTCTACAATTTGTCTTTTTTTTGAAAGTGACACTATTGTGAGTTAAGTATGTCGTATGCGGATGACATGGAATATTTATTACACACCTCAATGTTCAATATCAATTTATCGTTAATGTTAGCAGTTTTTATTATAAACGTAAATTTGTAACTTAAAATTTTACCATCTTTGATATAGAAAAGAAACATTGATACTGTTTTGTGTGACATTAATTAGAGGGTAATAGAGGGTCCAATGAAATTTCAACTTGTCTACTTAAGTTTTTGAAAATTATCAAGGATCAAGGTGTAAAAGAAGTTATTTTGTATTCAGACAATTGTGGTGGACAGAACCGAAACCGTTATGTTTATTCTATGTGGGAGTATGCTACATAATATGTAACATACTATATATATATATATTATGTTACACGTGTATGTATGCAGTAAGAGTTTTAGGTATTTTTGTTTATGTTACCTATGCATGCGATACTGTTATTGATGGTCAAGTTTATTGCTGGAATACCATTAGGGATTTGGGTTTTGTTTACCGCCTACAGGTTATGTCTATATCTTGTGCGAATTAATTGTAGGCCCTGCGATGTCGGGGGCTTGTGGGAGGCTTTGCTCCCCACGGATTATCCTGGGGTGGATAAATTTGGCGCTCACAAGTTGTTTACTAAATGTGGAGCAGTACTCATTATCTACTTGTTACCGTTAAAAAAAAAAAAAACCCATTAGTTTTAATATTACACATTAACAGAAACAACAATAGTTTATTAGTATAACATATTTATATGTATATGAAATCGATTAGTTTTTTGTAATCGCATTAGCATCTCTCCGTCCGTTCCGTCGTCGTCTTCTCCGCCGTGACCTGCCGCCGTTGCCGTTTCGCACGTCCGCAGAGTTGGGTTCCTCGGTAGACACCGCGGTCGTTTTACCCGACGAGTCCTTGCGCCCTGCGAACATTCTAAAAAACTCGGCGACCACGGGCTCAACGGTATCGTCGAGTTCCAAGGGTGCGCGGCAAGGCACCAGGAAATCCTCGAGGTCGCGGTGCAGATGGTAACCGTAACCGTGCACGTCGAGGTCGTCCAAATGCCATACGCGCGGGCTGCCCTTTGGACCGCTCTCCCGATCGCCCGTGGTCGACTTGAGGATGCCGTGGAGGCCGCTCACGGCGGACCCGATCACTTTCGGTGCTAGGCACCGATCGTGCACCAACACGCGACAGTCTACGTAAACAACACGCGGAATACATTCGTTAGCGAAAATAATAATAATATAAAAAAAAAAAACGAAACACTTTTTATCGAATCTAGAGCCTTATAATATATTCTTCGATTGTTGAAACTTGGACGCGAAGAGCGTTGGAAACTATATACGTTTTGCGTTTCGTTGCTTTACTGTTTTCGTTGGGATTAGTCTAAAAGCACCTGTATAATAATTCTATGCAGAAACCAGTCATAAACCGTCATAAGGCATGATTAGATAACTATTCTTATGAATGTTTAAATCTAAATATTATCAATGTTTAATCAATCTTAAAAGATTATTATTCCCAAATATATTTTATATAATGCACTAACCGCTGATAATATTGTTTATCCAACGATATAAACCAGTTTCTTATGATTTATATGATTGCACTGTAATGCATTTAGACAACTCCATTCGGAACCATCATGATTGGTGTGGTTTTTGCCCCCAAATTTTCGTTACATAATTTATCAACAATATTAAATTTAATGTTTCTTTTTAAATTACTAAATAACACAATATATTGCTCTGAATTAAATATTTGATTTTAAAATTGGCACGACTAACTTAGGTACAAGTGTTTGTTTGTTTTACCGAAAATGTATAAATAAAATATACTTAATGTATGTTTATGTATAAAATGTATTTTTTTTCTTTATAAATAATTGTATTAGAATAATATATTTTTATTATTATTATTTAAATTATGATTAAAGCATATTTTGTCAATAGGATTTATTTTCTTTAATACATTTTTGTCATTTATCATAGTTATTATTTTCAGATGTATATAAATTAAGACGAAAAATTCAATAAAAGATTCAGAACCACAATTTAACAATTTTTTTTTTTTAATCGTTTATTTGGTACTAATTAAATTTCAATTCTATGTTACTCCTAAGCCACTAATTTATTTGGTCTGATTACAGTTATATTTTAATAATCAATACCAACAACATTATTCATAAACTAACAACTTACTTTTACATTGCGTCATTTTTTCCGCAAATGAACGTTTGGTTCTACAAAAGAAGCATTGACGACACCACATATTTCGTCCCGTCGTCTTCGCGTTCAAGACATTACGCTCAAAATCATGTTTACAGCTAAAGACATTTGTAAAGTTATATTGTATATAGTATGCAAATGATAATAATTATATTTACTTTTCTTTCATTTTCAATCGTTGGAATGCAAAAAATTGTAATGATAAAGAAAAAAATGCTTTGACTTGCAGTTCGTATAAAATCACAAACAACACTGAACATGTTTATACCATTTACTAATATTATAAAAAATGTTGCCTATTAACGGAAATCGGCTATAATAACTGTTATCATAACATTTATGCCATATACGTTATTAGTGTTTAAAATAAATTACTTTTGAAAAAAGTCGATAAGATGGGTTTCAATTCTTTGGTAAAACGTTTTGTAACTTTGAAAATGTTAATGTGGTACGTTAACATGCTACAAGGAAATAGTAATGATATTAATTGGTAGATTTTCCTCGCTTCGAATGAGATTATGTCGGGAATTAAGATTGCCAATAATAATTATCAATAAGTATAACCATCGAACGGTTAGTATCGAATCGATCTGAGATATAGATCACTTGATACACCTTTAAATACAATACGAGTAAATTGGAAATCTGCTTCTGAAAAATTATGTTTATGTTCGTTTCGAAATGATATTCAATTTAATATAAAATGAGAATTGATAAGGTCTCGATAAGTAATTAGTAATTACTAGTGATTGAATTTTAAAGTACAATAAATAACAAAAAAAGAATAAAACTGTTTGAAAAAATTAAAAAAAAAATTATTTATTTTTATAAAATGAAAAAAAAAACATGAACCATAATTAACTTAAATTAGGTATGAAGTTAATAGAAAAAATTATATTAAATTGTGAAAAATAAATTAACTATCAAGTATATAGATAAATTTTCAGTTGTGAAACTGACTATTATCAGACAATATGTTTTTATACATTGAAAACAAAGACTCAACATTCACTGAAGTGATTGGTACATATTTCTCACAAGCTGTTTTGTTTAAATACAATTTATGCAAATCATTATTTGATGAAACACTACGCAGTATGTTTTTAATGTCTTGTAATTGTTTTCAACCCTAAATTTTGAAAAAACATGATTTAATTTACCTACAATTTTTAATAGTTGAAACGATCGATGTTATTGGCGTAAATTGATAACTATCGACAATAATATTATGATTAACCAAACGTTTAATACAATTAAGAAACGAACTGATACACGAAAACAAAAAAAGTTTCCCATACACGGACAGTCTTGAATGATGTGAATGTCAATGAGACTGACAGTCAAGACTGATAATTGATTGACGATTGATAATTTTTAAATGCAGTCAATCTAAATTGATGATAATCTTCAATCTTCTTTTATAAAATTACTTTTTTTTTTTTTAGCTTTTATAGCCCATCAAGGGCCTTTTCTGCTTCCATTATTTCTTGCCACTTCTCTCTATTTTCACTTCCTGCTAGTTATATTTCTGGTGCAATCTTTGCTAGATCTGATTTTACAGTGTCCACCCATTTACGTCTAGGGCGGCCTCTGGGTATTCTACCATTTCTTTTTTACGTAAGTTGAATATGATTCATGGTTTCCAACGATTGATTTATAAAAATATGTTTAAAATTTTCTTAGAAACATCTTCAAAAAAATATTTTTTTTAAAATTTACAATGCGTAATTAATTACTTTTGTTACAGCACGATCACTGGAAGATTGCATTTAGAAAAAATATTAAATTAAATGTTTTTTCGATACACAAAAAGTGGTTCAGTCTAATGCACTAATTGATTCTATATCGAAAAGTTAGAACGGTATGATTAGGAAATATTAAGACAGAAAGTGAACTTTTTCGATGTCACTGAAAAGTAGATGGGTCACAATTGTATTTTTTCATAAAAAAATCACAATAAAAACCTCACATTTATTACAAATTAAAGACATTTGACATTTATATACAATTGTATTAATTTAAAACGTCTGAAAATACAAAATTTGTTACTTATTTAATCTAAATAATTAAGCTTAGAAAAATAAAACCTTATTGTCAAATTATTTTATTTTTATTTTACTTCAAATCACAATTGAATTGATCATTTCGAAAAGGCCATTTCTCCACACATTTTCAAAACTAATTTTATGTGATAAATGTGTTTAAATAATAATAATAACCTGCTCGACCGCAATATCATACTTAGTTTTTTATAAGGAAATTAAATAATTCAACCTTTTTTCAATTTTTATCTAAATTTAATATTGATCACTAAAATCTGTTTTTACGTTTCCGGACAGTTTTCATTTTATGGAGATACATTTAGTCTTTTCGAAATTATGTTAATTACCAATGGTTCTTAAATGTATGAAAAATATTAAAATATTTGAGTTTTCAATACCTTCTTAATACCTAAAAGAATACTAATTCAATATTTCAAAATCCGAATTATGAATTTTTCTCCGAATCTGCATTTTGGATTTCGAATTTTATTAATCAGGATTTTCAAACTTCGATAAATTCGAATTTTTCCCATCACTAGTTTGAATACATATTTTGTTATCTCAGTTAGATAGGTTTTAGTGTCAGTCCAATATTACTGTTGTGTGACCACAGTTTTGAATAGTGATACAGTTTGTGTCATTTATTTTTTTGTATTTGCGGTTTGTTTGACCAACTAAACTATTTACCTATATCATTTTGGGTATTACAACGAATCATCCTACCATTGGTGCCATACCTTGTATTAAGAGTAACTAGTATTTTTGGTTGAAATAATTATAATTTTAGTTCAGCCACATATATTTTTCGTGCTCGTGAAGACGTATGAGCCGTTAAATTCGTTTTGGATGTCGATTGATTCCTTGGCAATTTATTTTTCGATGTAACCATTAATTTCGCGCAACCGACGCCGTTTTAATATCTGCGTAAATTTAACGTCGCGTACATTCTACGATTTCGTGGAATTATGTGGTATGTCCATGACTTATTTTATTTTTCATAAACTTAACATCACCCTTATTCCAACGTCATATATATAAGTTCAAAATGTATGTGACAAAAAGTGCGAAGTACATTAAACTCAACATAAGCAAAAAACTCTAAATTAAAGTGGTTCAGTGGTTATTGGAATCGTTAGCCTGGCAATGACTGTTTCGGGCAAAGCGGCGGTATTTAAGCTATTATTATACATAGGTATTTATGCTCGTAGTAAATATTAGTTTATAGTGCAGAGATTATGGAACGTTTAAAATTTATTAGGCACGTTTACGGGAGGGGCTGGGTGGTCACTGGTCTCCCCGGCGGACTATGCATCCAACAAAATCACGTTAGGATAAAAAAAAAGTCTACGGTTTGTACCTACTCAGTACCAGTAGAGTACATTAGTATTATGTATGTGTTTTTATTTTAGTTTTAAATGTATTTTTATTGTTTTGTCACCCCAATGGTTATTATTTTTGATCTCAATTAAAAAGTACTCCTATGGTTTCTATATTTTTTCATGTCTAAAAAAAAAGTTTCATGATCAAAACTTTGTTATTTGTTGTTAGTTGTGACCCTTTGGTCACTAAAGTTTGAACACCCCTATGGTTAGGTGCTTGAATTTGTAGTTATACAATATTTCAAGTTAGAAATATTTTAATCCTTGTAAATTTTTGAAATTAATTTATGCGAGTATATAAAAACGGCTTAACGGTACAGTTATTACGTATTTCCCAAGTGTTTTTATTTATTTTTATAAATCATATAAAAAATATACATTAAATTGAACTAAGGTGGTAATCTTGAATTTGGATACACATGATAAATCTGTTACCGTAAATGCACACGTAAGTGTAGCTACGTCGAGAGGTTAACGTTCTCGGTTTTTTTTTTTATTGTTTTTCATATCTTCGGGCGATGGCACCGGTGCGAGATTACGCTCGAGAAAGAAAAAAAACAGGTTATAATTTGATAAATTGTACATCTACGTCGAGGAAGAACATAGTTATACGTTTGGATTAATATAAATAGTCCCATCGAGGCTCGAGGATTACGCGTTGGAACCGGCGGCAGATGTGTGTATAATAATGTCGGACGTCGGTCAAAAGAATGTAAATCGACCGCGTAAGTACGGTTAGATTAGGTGTGTATGCATACACACGCGTCACGCACTCGTCCAGTGATTACACAATCGTGATAATCCAATCGAATGTAGAGTAAGCGATTAGGACTGTTGAAAACATGATTACTACGTAATATCTTAAATAGTTTTATAATTTAGAAATGTACAATGGATCAAACTTAACACTATAACATCATATTATAATACTACTGTGATATCATATAATTGAGGATAAAAAAATACATATTTGTTTATTATATATTAAGTACCAGAAAGATCTACTGCACTAAATATACTGTACACGCTCGTAAATCTCATCGAAATATTATCACTTTGACAAAATAATATGTATGATATCGGAGGTGTATAATACATACAGATATACCCAGTGGCGCCTAAAACGTATGGCAAGTGGGGTAAATACCCCAGAAATTTTTTAGGTGGTGGGTAGGTGGTTAGACTTAATGAGTGCTAGATATATTATTGTACGGTAAAATATTCTATAATGTTATGTAATTACTAGATGTGTAGTAAATACTCGTTGCTCACAGGTATACAATACTTGCTATTTATGATTTTTGGGTGAGTAGGTGGGTACCCATAAGTAGGGTTTACCCCAGTGATATAAAAAAAGGTACGACGCCACTGGATATACCTATTAGTCCTATACATAGGCGCAGATCGAAAACAAATTGTTGAAGCCGAGCAAAACCTTTGAAACAATATTGTACTTAGATTGAAACAAATTTACAGAACACTAAACCTATACAATATAGTAAATAATACAGAAATAAGATAGTACAATATAATAAAAGGTTTTTTAATTATTCTAGTTCAATTAAAAAAAAATAAAATCAAAAAAATCATGGGAAATCACCGTTATCACGATATTAATCAATATTTATTAATACTTTAATTTATCATGATTATATCATTGTACTTATATTGCAGGAAAAAAATAAATACGGAATAAGATGAAGGAATTATGAGTTAAAATATCTTGTTACAAAGTTACGGTAACCTTGGGGTCGAGCGAGAAATGGCCCTACGTTCAGTTTAATATCAATTCCTTAGACCCCTCCGTCTTATATCTCACACGATTTCTGCCTATGGTCGCGCAGCTTAATATATTTAGTACTATGTGTATTTTTTATACATATTATATATTGTAAGAAAAAATATATTGAATTCGCGAACTTAATATTTTAATAAATCATTGTTGAATGTGTGTGCAAACTGCATTCATGGCACTCGACTTAAGTGTTTAAGACTACAAATGTTATTGCAATGTATCATAATATTTGTAATAAACGTTACCTACACGCGTGTATTACAATTATTAATTTTTATTTTATTTATTTATTTTTTTTTGAAACCAGCGGCGATTTACGAAGAAAAACCGGCAGAATCGGTTTTTTCGGAACCGTAGTGTATCATAGTTAGTCCCTAGTAGAGGTAATATTATAACACGCGCGCGTGGAGCGTGGTTGTAAGTAGATCTTTCTGACACTTTTTTGAGTATTCGTGTACATTATGTATATTTAAACGTACAGAAAAAAAAAACATAAAAAATACAATTTTATTGACTAATGTAAAAAAAAAAAAACGCACATCATAATACAATAAACATTTACGTAATGTCCCCTCGTGGAGTAATAGAACATAGTTATTATTTTTATTGTTTTTATCGTTCAGAATCAATGCATTATAATATTCTCGGAGTGACATCACCAAGTGTGTACGAAAAGAGTCAGTGACGTCACGCCGAAATCGTATCGTAGTATATTATATGTGTACAGAGTCCGACGAATCGAAAACGTTTCGTACACACGTTGACGTTATTTCGTATTATATGATCTATAAAACGATCGTACGGGTCTTTTTAATTTTTACAATGCGTGTACAAAGGAACGTGGCCCCGCGTGGTGTTCGTTATTTAGTAGGTGTTGCCGCACAATAAAGTAATTTGCACGTGCGTACATCTTTAATAAGTGCGATACAATATGAATTCGAATTTTTTTAATTCCGTTTACAATGGCATACGACGATACAGCGTACAAAAATATTATACACTAGTGTTTTATAAATATATCATTATCATTATAAATCATAAACGTTTTGTCCTCAGTCTGTCTTGCTTACATATTAACGTGTGTATTACATTATTGTTATATTAATATTATTACTACCGCCGTCGCGATACTCTCGGGCCACACCGTCACTGCGCGCACGATCATCTGTAGTAGTTTGAGCGGCTGCCTATCGTGTACGTGCTCAGCGGAATGCAACCGGGCGAGAACGTCATTTCGCCCTGCTGCTGTTGTTCGTAATCCACGTCGTAGTAAATTCCGCTTTGATTCTATGGGTGAGAGAAAAAAAAAAAAAAAAATTATATTAACTATACGATAAACAAAAAATAAGCGTCGAACCGGCAGATTCGTTGAACTCTAATGGGAAAGGGTTAGACACGAGACTCGTGAGTTGATCGTCTTTATCGATATGGATATTATGTATATTGCGTTTTACGTTACATCTGTATGTCGATCGGTACACCGAATATGTTTCCGCGTTTTGGTTTTTTTTTTTTTTTTTTTTTTATCACGGTTCAACGCGATTCACAATACGCCGTACACAATAATAATAATAATAATAATAATAATACGCGAATACAAGACCACTAACACGGGAGCGTACTATCGTCTATGGTCTTTGATGTGTATATTTATATAACAACTTCCGCACCGTCAAAATGCAATCAGTAATATTGTTAAGTAAACAAGAAGAACAGGATCGAGAAAGAAAAAAAAAATGTGTTTTTGTGTTAATATGTTGCCCACGACAATTGCACGCGATGTAATGATGTCGCACCTTGACCGTACAATATTAATAACAGTACAATAGATATAATAATAAAAGCGGTCGTCATACCACCGATGACGAATCGGTTGTTTCGTCAATTAAAATCCAACAAAAAAAATCGGTCAACATTGCAAACCTTTTATTTATGAAAGAGTTCGTTGATTTCACATAAAAAATGATGTTTGATTTTTTTTTCCAAATGAATAATTAAAACGTCTAATTTGATCTTGTTCGACAAATGTTATTTATATTTTCGACTTTTTTTATTATATTTTGTTGGTGTACGAAAACGACTACGGTCCGAACTGGAACGCTCCGTAATTGTTATTGGATTTTAACAATTTAGAATGAAAACAAGTGTCGCATTGTCTTACAATTTGTCTAGTATTTGTCGCTTATAATTTATTATTGTTGGTTTTCGAATTAGTCATGGACAATTGCTCGTAGAAGACTTTCTGTAAACAGTATCATTTTATCACTACAAAGTATTAAATTATATTTACTCTTGTTTCAATGGTAGCAAATTGCCTTGTTTAATGTTACGTTGGAAATTCTTCAACTCAAGTAATGTCTGTTTTAATATCATGATTCGTATAGGTATTTGTGTAAGTAAGAAAGTACACTATGTAGGAAATCATCACGTGTAAACGTATTAAAAATATTTTATTTTTTTATTAGAACAATGAAAAAACAAAAGGAAAACTGCGACGAAAAATTTAAAACAAAGCTGCACATACTAACAACGCTGATTATGATATTCTGGATTTATTTATATTGACAGTACGAGAGTCGTTGTACAACATCTAAATTCCCTCCTTGATAAATACTAACAATTGAAATATGGAAAATGTATATTTGCATGGAATTTACAACGATGTAAGTAATTGACTTGATTAAATTAAGATTACAGTAACCCCTCATTATCCGCGTTTTTTTATCCGTGGTTGGGTCCACGATAACATATTTTTAATGCGATTGCGATAACGTTTTACCGTTATTACACGAACACTGTAGAAATTTATTTTTGACAATAATTGTAGATAATTGTTGTTATATCACCTTAGGTATAACACATATACATAATATATACTTATACTTATTCCAGATAAAACACAAAAGTTTACCTACACCTGCACTATTAATAATCGTCAATTTCTCAGTTGTAAGATGATATTTGTGCGTGACACGTGTGTACAGCAGTGTTTAATAAATTTAGAGGTGAGAATATTTTTAAATGGCTTCTCAATGTAAAATGTCAATAAAAAGGAGAAGAAATGTTTTATTATTCGTTCAAAAAATTGAAATTTTGGACAAATTAAAAAGTGGGTGATACAGTAGCGTCACTTGCTAGAATGTACAAAATGAATGAACCTAGTATCCGAGATATACGTAAAAATTAAGAAATAATACGATAGATAATAAATAAATTAGTTGTAGGAATTAAAAAAAATTAAATCTAACCTCCCTTTTTACATTGATTTGTGGTTTCGTTATCCGCAGATTTACTATCCGCGCAGGTTTGCTGGAACGTAACCTTCGCGGATAACGAGGATTACTGTATATAATCAGTTAACAATCCGTCAGTTACCCGCTCGGTATAATGTAATATTCTAAGAAGCGTTCGTAATGAACTGAAATATTACGTCAAGTATTATTTCGACGTTTTTAAGTTAACTTGTTACAGCTGTGGTAGGAGTGTTAACGGAAAATAATATGAAATGTTGTAACTCTATATCCAATGTGTGCATATATCGATGATACCATTACGCGATTGATGAGCTGTTCGTAAACCATGATGTGATGTGTCCGTGAACTCGGCACAACGAATATCTTTAATTATCTTTAAAAAATAATCGGAAAATAATAAACAAATTTGTTGGTCGTCGTAAAATTGGTCATTTGAACGGATTTTTTACGATTGAAAGCAAAAACACCGCTCTGCTCGTGTAAACTTGCCAAGGAAAATCGTGTAAAATAAATCAAGACCCGAACGAAAACGTACGACTCATCGCGAGTGGATTCCTCGATGCGCATTAATGATTGTCGGACGATTTCAACAGTTGATGATGGTTACTTCGGCATGCCGAGTTCGCCGACACGCAGACGGGTCAACGGCAATAATGTTTATCAGGCGTGCCCAGCTTGCGGGCCACATTCGAGGTTTATAATTATCCTGCGTACCGGTTAATTTTAATTTTGATAACGTATTCAATGGATATACGAGTATACTATGTCGCGTACTATATCTTTGATCGCTAATCGAACTTACTACTCATTTCGTGTGTAAAGCAATAATAACGTCACACGTGTTCGTCGCACTTACCGCTAGTGACGATCTGCTCTTCGGTCTGGACGAAGTCTGGAAACTCCGGCCCAGCAGGTCGGTCCGGTCCTCTTCCTCGCTGGTGCTCGATTCGGGCGTGCGGAAAGCGTGCGAAATCGTGCTTGTGCCCGGCGGCCGGAGCCTGGGCAACGGCATCGGCGCGCCCGCGTACCCGAACATGTTTGACCGCATCGTGCCGTTTCCCGGCTCGGGCTGAAATCCGAACGACTAGATCAGTACAACAATCGCTGAAAGTTACCAAAGTTCTTTCGGGCCGCCCGTCAGAGAAAATAATGCACACATTTCGCGTTCATCGATTACTTTTACACTTCTATTATTTTTTTTACCGTTGAATCCGATCAGAACAATGTTCTTAAACAGTTTTAGGTGCATAGCGCTCTGTTCTGTGAAAGGCTCGCGGTCAAGGTGAGTGGGGCTGGTGGAACTTTTATGGGGAGTGGAACGGGGAAAACGGCAATGTTGTAGAACTTGTTGATGAAATACGTGTTTCTTTTTTTATTTCTTTAATAATAATACGTAAGAAATATTAAAAATAACTGTTGATTCGTTGATATTAATTTTTTATGATAGATAGTTGTAATCTATACTATCTACATATTATTATTTGAAAACGTGAAATTTCTTCAGAGCAATCATATTATTATGAAACAATTAAATAGTAATAGGTGTAATTTTACGTAGCAATTACTGTGCATTCGAATGTGTCTGATAAATATATCTGCAATCCAACTCGGACCGAATGGTAATATTATAGGCAATACCGATTCGAAAATAATATTTTACCATTTCACGCTTAATTTTCTCAAATAAATATATTTATTGCAAGGTTCAAAGAACACGAATCGTTAGCAATCAGTTCGGTAAACCACCTAGATGGTTTTTTTGATTACAAATGCAACTAAAATGGGTTGAGTCAAATTGTTTCAAACGTTATAGGTACAAGTCGACGGACTTGAAACAAGCGAAGAATCAGCAGCAGCCGATTTAGCGATTACCTATTTGTTTTTATTTTTGTGGGGAATCATCGACTTATACAGTGAACGAGAATGCCGTTAACTGTGCCAATACATTTCAATAAACTCGTAGATGCGTTACTATATAAGCACATTTTGCAATCCGAGCATTACACAGTTGCTTAGCCAGTACGTACAACTTCTATACTGTAACAATGACGTCGCTGTATAACTGTATAATCTGGAATTGAATTACTTTATTAGTTTATAAAACACCAATCATAAAACTTAATAAAACCAGATAGTGTGCGGGTATTTATTTTTCTAGTAAAAGTAAATACCAACAACAAACACTGATGGTTTTAGATTTTCGGTGAAACGAGGAATGGATCGGTTTTACAATGATATCTGAATTTTTTTTATGTCCCTGTGTGCATGATTTCGACCTGAAGAATTACTCCGATCATCAGAATTATTAGAAATTTTTCATAGAAAATGTTGTTTACTCGTATTTGGCAGTGTGGAGAGGATTACTTAATGAATTTATCAACGGTTTTATTGCGAAAAATTGACGAAAATTAGGGAAATACGGAAAAATTAGCAGCTTAGGTACCTTGGACAAAATTTAATTTATGTTTTCTTCTTAATTCAAAAAATAATAGTAATCGTATCAAAAATCGTATAGAAATATGCAATTTACACTGAATACCTATATAACCGTTTGCTATGGATAGCATTATTTTCATAGTATTTTTTTCAGAGCTATTTTTTGAAAATATTAATTTTAATTATTTCTTGGATTTTATTTAAAAATGTCAATAAAATAATTTTTGTTTGACAAATTTTTGAAAATTTAATACGAAGTATACTGATTAAAGAGAAACAAATTGAGTCAAATTTAGAAGAAAAAAAAATTATGAGCGTTTGAATATTACATTTTGACAAAACATTAAAAATCACGAACGTTTGTTACATTTTTGTATTCATAAATATATAAAATGTTTAATTTTTACACTTATGTCTTGACAAATAGATACAGATAAATAAGAATAAGCAAAAAAAAAAAAAAAATTAATAAATAATAGTTTAAAAATATTGAAAATTCGCATAATCGTTACAAAATAAAATGTTGACAAAATCAGATATTTGAATTAATTGATATAAGTTATTTAGTTAAAGACACTTTATAATTCCGAAATAATTTAAAGGAGTTTGCGTATTATAGTATAGTAAAAGTATTTACTATAGTATTTTAAAGAAGAAGGTGCTGTTTATAGACATTTGAAATTTTTATTTCCTAAAACGTTGATGCCTTTATTTTTGATGCAAAAGTCAGAACATTAAAAGTTCAACTCAACTTATTAAGAAATTTAGTTTTTCTACGGTATGAACCATCTTCAGAAGTATAAGCTGAACCTCTTCCACTCAGAATGGATTTTCAGTTTTGGAGCAAAATTTAAATTTAAAATACCAATACAACGATATCATCTACCCATCATTGTGTCTCGCTCTTTTTACATTTGTATTTTTTCAAAATATTCGTTTTTTAGTGTTCTTTGTCGGACTGCACGGTTATAACAAGTCGTCGGTTGATTCATACCAAGATATCTTACGCACGTAGTTCACACACGTTGCACGACTCCAAACCGGTCGGACCAGGGCCGTATTTAAGGGGGAGCTACAGGATGCTGTAGCCCCGGGTGGCTGAATATAAGTGGGTGGCTAATTTTTTTATATTTTCAATATTTAATGATCTAATATTTTTGAAATGAAACTTCTTTACAAAGTAAAAAGTGTATTTCAAAAAAAATATATATCGTCAATCACGGCATCACGACACACACACACACACACACACACACATACTCGGTAACGGTCGAGTACTGTCGACAGATCCAAAGATTTATAAACAATCTATCCTTATGTTGACATTGCACTTAGAATGTTTTTGTGAACAGCGGCAACGAATTGTTTTTCAGAAAGATCTTTTTTAACCCGCAGAAATTTGTATTTGGTATAACGTAGCGTTTTTTATCGTTGCCCCCTGGTGTCAAATTCCTAAATACGGCCCCGGGTCGGACGGTACACATTTACGCTCCACCATGGAAGACCGATTGTTGCAGGGCCGGCGTTACCTTTTACGAGGCCCTGGGCAAAACTTATTTTGTCCATAGCAATAGTCACCTACAGCCTGTAGGCCGAAATCAAAGGCGATAATATGTATTCAGACTCGGCGACAGGTGCACGCGATATCGGGTAATGATTGATGATTACGTTTAAGAATAAATGCGATCAAATAAATGTCCGATTGAATTCCGGTTTCCGTACTCCGTGCGGCGGCGTGCCGCGTGAAAATTTTAAGCGCGAGGCCCTTGAAGGCGCGAGGCCCCGGGTAATTGTGCCGTTTCGCTTTCCCCTAATGTCGGCCCTTAATCGTTGATGAACAGTTAACGTGGCCTTAACACGCCGTAGGTACTCACCGCGTAATGGTTGGCGTGCGCCATGGCGTCGGCGATCTGCGCCCATCGCATGCGGTCCTCGATGGACACCTGGTATGGCGGGCCGCCGATCACGGGCGTTTTCACCGTGCTGCCGCCCGTCGGCATGTACCCGAACACCGGCGAGCCGACCTTCTGCTCCTTGTTCCACCGGCGACTCCACGCGCACAGGCACACCAGCGTCAGCACGATGATCGAGATGGCCGCCACCGACGAGCCGACCGCGACGCTCAGCACTTCGCCGTCGATCTCGCACTGCGCCCCGTAGAACGATCCGGAACACCTGTAACGACCGGCGACGAGAATATGAACAAACGGCGGACTTAAATGATACACTCGTAACGACCTCGATTTTCTCGAGACCCCCAACACCAGCAGCGTATACGGAATATGTTTTCCGGAGGGGCTATTACGGACAGAGTTAGATTACCATTGCTGTCTGAGAATTACTAACAAGACACAGTAGGTACTACTACTTATCTGCATTTAATTTACAGAATGTCCCAAAGCGATTTGACGTTGGACACGAATTCAAAACAAGTGTAAAGCACCATTAAAATATAACACACGTTTAAAATAATTTTTAAGTTTCTTAAAACATTTTGATGGGGGGGGGGGGCTGTAGCCCACTAGCCCCCCCCTATATACGCCACTGCCTGAGAGTGTGTTTTACTTAGGCCGCACATCCAAACCGTGTTTGTGTCGTTTCTCACAAATGTTTACTTGAAAGCCTGTAGCTCGTGCGCGCACATTCTTTACTGTTGATTTATAACCGTATTTTTTATAAATTTTATAGTTGAAACACCCAATTATTAGTTATTACTCCTATTGCTCCTGTCCTGATTTGAACACTCCGATGTTTTTTTTTTCATAAGCAATATTATAGTCATAAATGCATCCTGAACTCCTGTGGGTGGAATGAAATATAATCAACGAAAATCTACTGCAGTTTAAGAATATACCTATGCATTATTTCGATGTACTTTTAATGGACACACAGGTTACTTTAGGGGAAAATATTTACAACATGGATGCAACCTATACGTACGCGTATTCAGCGATGTAATTGGGACGGAAGAACTACTAGTAGGAAAAATGATCACATGTTAATCATTATTGGACCAAAAAGCTTATGAAGTGTTTTAAAAAATATTTAAATTCACCGTTGAAATTATTTTCTCGCTACACTTCAAATCTCTAATACTTTAATCAGCTAAGGTTGGTTTAGGAATTCAACATGAATTAATTTACATATGTCTTGTCTGTCAAACATATGAACGCTTAAAGGCGTGCATGACGATAAAATAAATTGTACAGTATTTAACTAAAGACAGCACAAACTAATAGATATTATAATAATATTAATCTTTAGTCCCTCGAACTTCTTATTATAATTAAAAGTGTTAGAGATGTTTCTATTCGAGTTTTTTGGTGTAGTCATGTGGACGAGTAGTTGTTGTCCTGCAGGCATACGATTAAAATAATATTATGAATACTATGTCGTGTTGTTTAGTATGTGTGTGTATGTCCAATACTTAAATAATTTAATATCGGAACGAAAACATTGATGTAACTTGTAATGTTTAATCAGGCCCGTATTTAGGGTGATGGGCACGGGTAAGCACATGTCCGGGTGCGTCAAGTCTCAGGGGTGGCAAAATATTTTAGCAAAATTAATTTTAAAAATGATGTACCTAATGAAAAAAAAAATAAAACAATAAAAAAGGAAAATAGTACCTATGTTTTATTATGTTATAATTTGTAAATTAAAAAAAAAAAAAAATTGTATTTTTATTATAATTTGCTATTCAAAAAAATGAATGACTTAACGATTTTCATTTGTAAGTTATAATTTAATATTAAAAAATTTCGATTATGGACGAAATAATAAGTGTTATATTATTATTATTATTTATTGTTTTGGAGAGGGGGAGGCGTAAATTATAAGCCCGAGGGCGCTAAATTTTTAAATACGGGCTTGTGTTCAATCCATTTTCAATGAACCATTTACGCTGCGTATAATAATACGTTAAGAAAGTACGATGTAAGAATTGATGATTTTGTCGAGCAGTATTTGGAAAGTGAAAAATTCTACGATAGCTCAACGTTTATCGCAGGCCCTATTATTTGTACAATTTCGGACTGCACACTTGATTTTACTGCTTTCACACTCGTACTTTCGTGGTGCACATAAAAATAGGGCCTGGTTTATCGGACGATAAGGTATGATGCACGCGGTGCGACGAGAAGGCCCTGACGGTGTACCGTGTTTGACGCGCGTGCGATTGATCGTTTGACGTTACGTTATTCTCATTCGGATTAGAAACGCAACAACAATAAAACCGCGCGCGTCCACCGTGTTCGGGACGTATTCTCGTCGCAAACACCGTTGCGCTCGCGCCCGCGTATCACGCGCGACAGAGATCAATCGTTCATTCGATTCGTTAGCTTGTCGCCGTCGTCGTCGTCGTCGGACATAATGTACGGGTGTACCATATTGCGCGCGTAAACTCTACTGATAATACGCTGATTACCGCGTGTCTAGGTGATGTGTTTGTGTGCGCGTTGCGAACGGACGATTTGGATTTGCACAACGAGAACGTTACGGAGTGATAGGAACGCGACGGGAGTACAACGGGTGACAAACGGTAAACGGTACTACGGTGCCGCGCGTGGAATAGGCGAGAACGGAACGGTAAAGACACTATACGTATCCGCTGACCGGAGTCTAACAATAATTGTCGAAATCCAACGCACGCGCTTACTAACCAGTACGTCTACGTTTTACGTACCGTTAACCATACACACGCACTCGTACACGTTAACATGCCTATCCGTTGTATTAATGTTGTACGTACACGTATAATGCGTTATCGTGGGCGTCTAATCGACGCAACAGTGGCGGCGTGCGAAAAGAAAGGGGAAAAATAAATATTCTTCGACAATTAACGACGACGACGACACACTCGCGCACTGACTGACCTACAATATTTCTGTACGAGCGTTTGTTTTTTTTTTTTAAGCATTTCTTATTTATTATTATTTTTTTTTTTCAACGTGCTCATTGTCGTGACGACGAGTCTGCCGTCCACCGGTCGTTATAAAGTCGGTTTATGTGCAAAACCCCGCAGTACCGTCCGGAGAACACGCGTGTTATCTTAGCGCTGTTAGGACGGGAGACGTTAACAACCGCAACGAGTAGAGATTTATCTGATGCGCAAGTGTGTACAGGGTACGACGTAACCGCGGGATCTGACGTGTTCCCGGGCGATGCGCACAACACCGTGTTCCGATCGGGCTTACGAGCGTATAACGCACGCGCCGTGGCCGTTTTTTTTATCCTGTTCTTTCTTGATTTCCTTTCGGAACGCCATCGTCGTCAATGCCCGTGTACCCGTGTGCACCGGCGGTACTGCGCGAAAGTACGCGCGCATGTCATTGTAATCAGTGGCGTAGGGAGGCTCGCTAGTGCCCCTGGCAAACTTAGGAAAAAAAAGCGCTTCTGAACCAATTAAAATTTGATTTTACGATATTTCTTTGTAAGTTATACATGTGTACAAATAGACAACGTCTACGTATTTCAAAAAGTATAATGGAAAAACTTTGATTTGACTGTAGGATAAAAAAAACGACTTTTGCACAATTTTGCGCCCCTCTGCGATTCGCACCCCAGGCGCAGACACAGTTCACCATACCCTTGGCTACCGCCACTGATTATAATTATATGTGTCACGGAACGTACGCGTGGGCAACGAATTTCGAAAAATACCATCGGAGCGGTCCACCGGTGATATGCGGGTTATCACATATTCTCGGCAAACCGTTTCGCGTCGATGGTATACAGTTGCTGTACCGATATTTCTGTACGGATATAGGTAAAGGGGAAATGCTGATGGCCCGTAAGAGCTGGTTGAGCGTTTAAACGGATTTCGAAACGATTCGAGTTTGCGGCTCTGTATCACAAGAGGTCGTGTAAGAGGATCTAACTGATCGGTCTCCTACGTACAGCGATAACGATGAACGAAAGCAGTATTCCTCTCTTCCCCATTTCGACCCACGATCCGTTCTTATTTCGCCACTAAGGTCTTTATTGTAAATTATTTTTATTTTACTATTCCTATTTCTCATCCGCGCGCCTCTTAGTACATGTGCCGAGACCTTTCACGTTAAGACCATCGAAGCGCCTTAGTTTTTCCCCAAATGCTTTTGACTCCACTCTCTTTGGCACCGGCGTTCACGAAAGTCGTTTTTCTAGTTCTACGCACATCGCGTCGCGGTACTATCGCATGGAGATCCCGTTTCCGGATGCAGCGACGATCCGCGGTCGACGATCGACGTCCGCGCATACGACAGCGCATCGCAAATGCAGTATCAGGTGAGAGGGGCATGGTCATATTTAGGGGGGGGGGGCGAAGGGGCGATCCCCCCCTGAATCCGTATTTAAGGAATTGATTATATGCGAGATTATAAACATTTCAATTTTTTTTAATGTGGACCATTTTATAACGAAATCGAACTTCGCGTGGCTGTGAATACTGAATTGTGCTTTTTGTCGGATCCATACTTAGTGAAAAATTAAATAAAACACAAGCGTAACTTTCAAAACACAGACAGGTGTTAAAAAATTACACAAAAGTCGATTTTAAGTGGATGCGGTATTAGATTAAAAATTAAACCACAAATATTAAGAATACACCTGATTTAAATATTGCCAAACATTTTACCTGTACATTTTGAGCCTGAACTAAAGAAAAGAGCGTACCCCCTTCCCCCTAGAAATAACTCTAAATATGCCCCTGGTGGTGATGGTGGGGGGGGGGTCGGCCGTACTGTTGCTACGCAGTACGTGACGATTGGTACTCACTTGCACACCGGCTGCCCGGCCTGGAAGAAGCACTCGCCGCGTAGGTTGCACTGGCCCGGGTCGCAGGTCTCGCACGTTCGGCCGCTGCGCTGCGTGTTTCCGATCCACGGGTCCCTGTAGCCGTCCGGGCACGCGCACTGGAACGTGCCGAACACGTTCGTGCACTTGCCGAGCGGATGACAGTCGTTCAGTTCCGCGCTGCTGCACTCGTCCAGATCTGCGCAAACGCACGAACGTTACACCGGTTTTTATTAACAATTGTTACGCGCGCGCGCGTTGTTTTGTTACTAGTCGCGATTTTCACGTTCGATTTCGACCGAGTGAGATTTTTCTCCGGTATCACTGAGAAGACCATCAGAGTTATGCGAACACGTGTCCGCTGTACGCGTAACCTTCGAGCACCGCTGTGATGGGTTGAAATCGGTTAGGTTAGGTAGGTTATAGATTTTCGTACATGTTTAATCTGTTAACCGCTTTGACTCTATAAAAATACGGTTAACAATTTTCCCGAATTTCGCGAGGAGGGGGTTTGCTACCTGCAGTCAACTGCAATTATGTGTTGCGCGTACGTTGAACAAATCTGTTGGTCGTGCGTCGCTGGATAGTAGAAAAACATCCCTCGCGTAAGAGTTTATTTTATACAGTTACTGCAGTTCAACAACGGGTGTTCGCTTGGTAAGGCGTAACGAAAATACGGTATAAAATAAACGTAACGACGACAAAATGCTTCCACGATATATTTCGGACCACGCGCGCACGGTAACCCAGAAATTTGTTCCGTCGAGTTCGCGGACATTTGCTCGTCAACCGTTCGTAATGACATCGTGTAAATATGTGCGTATCAAAGCCGTAACTAGGGTGAGGCGAGCAAGGCACTTGTCTAGGGCGCTTGGAGCTGGGAGGTGTAAGAATAATTAACATATTTTAAGAAATGTTATTTCTTGTTTTGCTAGAAACCTAATTACAATTTTTCAGTTTTTACTGAATCGCATTGTACATATTAAGAACTCTGAATGTGACAATCCTACTACCTAGGGGGCGCATTGTTTTAGTTCTGCCTCAGGATTAAAAAATGGCTTTGGTACGGCTCTGGCGCGTATGATAATAACAATCACGCGTCTCGCGAGTGAACAAATCTTTCGTCGTCGAAACGACGAAGGATTCGCGTGGAGTACCGTGCACGATGCACACGTGTGACGTTTCCTGATTGCGCGGTGACACGCACTGGCAGAACTGCTACGCTTTTCGAATTCGATCAACAAGTGTCAGTCACCGAAAACATACGAGGACACTGCAGGTCGCCTAAACCTGTAAGGACACTGCGTGAGTGTCACCGAGAAATTCGATGAGGCGAATGCGCTTGGATTTACGGATATCGTTTCAAAGTCGAACTGCGGTGACGCGGTAAATGATAATCGGTCATTACCGTGCAGTTGCGATATGGCACCGGCCGGCGAGTCCACCCAAAGGCCGCTGGTGCCCACATTGTTGTTGCGCCTTTGCAGCGCGCCCGTCAGTTGCTTTTGGACGTCCTGTTTGACGGACGAGCGCAGGTGCTCCGCGTTCTCCGTCAGCTGCACCGTAGCGTTCACCATGACCGGCGTGCCTGGTGTGGTCTTGGACGTGTAAACGTTGTTGATCTTGGCGCCGACGAATGTGTCCGAGAACGGTGTCATCGAGAACGCCGAATCAATCTGTAAACATTACCGGAGTATTGTGAAAAAAAAAAAATAATAAAATAATACATATTTTATTTTTTTAATTTTGCGATAACAATCAAGCGCAATATAAACTATTGTTTATCCTTTCGTCGAGTGCCTATCGTTATTGTTATTTCGAACAGGACATGAGCACTGTAAACTCGCAATCTTAGTGTACACGTATATCTATATTTGATGTACATTAATACAGATCTAAGATTCGAAACGATCACGATGTACATGTAGTATTTTATGTTGGACAATTTTGTCAGTTTCGTCAAACGTTCATTCTCTTTGTTCCGATAATTGAATTTCGCTGCTATCTGAATGTTGAAAATAATAACAGTACAAACTCGATTTGATACTTAATTGTTGACATTCATATTTTTTTTACACGAATCGTAGTTAGATACACGCACAATAGGCATTGTATACTGACCGGTCAGAACTGAAATGTTTAAAACGTAACTACACGGTTTTAAATGCTTTTTTGTTGCCACGTTAATATTTTTGGCACACTAATACGTTTACAATTTACATAATATGTAGGTTAACCTACAGTTAGAAAAAAAACATATTTCTGAAACAAAATCATAAAATAATATTGTATCGTCTAGAAGATCATCTACGGATAAAGTTCATTTTATAGTTCATAGATGTGTTAATTCGATAACTCGATAACAGTGTTGTAGCTATGTTTTTGACCGAAAACAATTTTACTAAAAAATAGAATATTACGACTTACCGCTCTAACTGCTTCGTGTTCAAGTTGTTGGTACTCTTGGCTCTCGGAATCCTTGTATTTATCTGTCCACGTGATCTTGTTGTCGTACATGCGATCGACACGTAATGAAAAAACAATAGATACGATCCCTAAGGAAAAAAAATCGTTATAAAATACAATTTTGAAGATAATATAAAATAATATTATCATCAGCTATTCCAACGTCAGCCAAAGTCACGATCGTGTTCCATAAAAAATTCCACGCGACCGTATTGTTTGGGACGGATCATTTACGAGAACATAATAATATTTTTATGTTCGTAATTATTTTACAGTATCGTGTATACATTTGGATTAGGTATAATGATATAATGACCGACGAGTCGGTGAAGAAAAAACGAGTTATATGTTTTTTTTTTCATTATTAATCCAGCGTCTATATTATACACACAAACGATGCTGTTCAGTTTAAATTACAGTGCACAATTCTAGGTAAAACGGTGATATTACAATACTGTTATATTGTTATTGACGTTATTCTGAAAAGTTTAGTGACACGCTGCAAAATCGTCGAGAAAATATCAGTGGTTTATGTAAAAAAAAAAAGGTTAATAGCTAAGGCTGAGTAAGTTGAATACATTTTTTTAACTTGTCAAGGTTAATTTAATCTTAAGAAACATGGGTAAAGTTAATAATAAGTTAATAATTACTACTCGTTTTTATAAACTTATAAAATTTAAAAGTGAAATAGAAAAAAAATAGTAACTAAATTTAGTTAAGAATAGGTTACTTTATTATTAATTTTTTTAATGACTAATATTATAATACTTAAACAAAGCTTCTTTTGTGTACGCTATTTTAATCGCGGTTAAGATATCTATGAACAGTGCAGTGAATTCAGCATTTTTAAAGCTGTAATTCCGATAATTTTTACCAAAATCGTTTTGTATCATAATTGTTCTGCTTCGACATACTCATACTGCCGAAAATAATTTTTATGATCACCGTCATGCACACAATTTTAGAAGAATGTTTCATTGCGACGAGGTTTAAAATGTCGAAAAAGTATTACAATTCGATCCTTAACTAAAAATGTGAAAAGAGAGAGAGCGATTGGTCGTTCGTTATTGTTGGTATCGTTCACTCCCATAGATTACATCTATAATATTATCCTTCTGGGGGTACGTACTGTGGCATGGGTCTCGGTGTTTTCGACGGCTGTAGCCGGGCCTGCACAGACACGAAGACACGCCGAGCTCGGTGCGACATCTCTCATGTTGGGCCGCGTCGCAGGTCGTGTCGTCACCCACGATGCAAGTGTCGATTCTGACCGGTGGGTGTGTGGGTCGTTTCCAAGCCGGGACTGTTGGTTTAGTGTTGCTGGGCAGCGGCCCTGGAGGGTTGGAACCACCGTGCGGTTGTAACACCTGACTCACTGAATACGATCTGAAATCGACAGCATAATTAATACAGTTATACATCGTCCGTTAGGTGATTGACGAACAGCTACGGAATGCTACTGCCTGAACTTCACGAATAGAATCTGTAGCCTATACCCATAGACCGAGAAATAACGGTCTATAATATATGGATTCTAAACTTATTTCGGGTTCCGGACCTCTTTAAGATGTACAATAAATAATCCGTCCACGGCCTTTGCAAATATTGCAATTTTTTGTTTTCAATTATTGTCAATATTTCATAATAAGGGTATAAAGGCAGCGTATTTTTTATCAATGTATTTTCGTATTTTCTCCTCGTAATCGGGATGTGTAGAATTAAAACCTGGCAGACAACTCACCGAACTTTTAACGGTTAACACTCATCATCTGCTGACCTTTAAAGAGTTTCGTAAGAACGCTCTACACTATCCAAAACAACAACAACGCGCATGTCCATATTTAACGGAAATTGTTTATAACTACTCATATATAAGTGTTAATGATTTACCGATTACAATGATGTTCGTTGAAACGTCTATACAAAGATAACAATCGATTTTGTGTAGGTACATAGGCACCTAACTACGTACATAAACGGGTGCGCGTTTAACGATGTAAGGAAACAACGTTGTTAAATATATGACTTTTTACAGCGTTTATAATGATGCCTATGTTGTTATGCGTTAAGAACATTTCTAATACTGCTTCACAATTATATCCAGCGAGTGGTTCAAGGACGTGCACAAGTGTAAAACCGAAGAGAAAAAATAAAAAATAAGTGTTCAAATAGAATTTATTTTATACACGAAAAAAAACATTTATTAGGTATTATAGCCTAGAGAGAGAGTTGTTTATTGTGTTTAGTATCACGTTCACGCGACGAAATGCTCTATACGATGATTATTGAAAATATAATGTATTATATTTAATATTACGAAACGTATACTGTTATAAACTATAAAACCTATGGAACAAACAAAACTTCCTAACAATGTTGGTCGTTTTCCGAACTAGTTAAATGTCTGTTGAGTAACTCGATTTACAGAGTGCTTCCTTTCGAGTACAGATATTAACGAAACAATAATATAACTTTAAAAAAACGATAGGAAAATGGTGCACGTGGTGGCGTATGCATTTGTGCGTTAACCTAACCGTAAACATGTAGGGCTGGCTTTAAATATGATCTGAACGTGCGACGGAACAGGGTGCCAAAATCAGAAGGGTGCGTGAGAGGCGTCAAAGTTAAAATTAAATTTGATCAACTGTTGGCGACACAAATCATCTACTATAGATAGAAAAAAATGTCACGATATGATTCAATATAAATTTGATTACTATTATAATTATCATTATTTATTATTCTATCGGCATGCAAGCCGTGCCGCAATTACCGGGTGAGCAAGGTGTGCATTGCACATCGACCCCCAAACCGTTTAGGCCCCGAAACACGATAAAACACGATGTATTATTATAGACATTTTAACTGAAGTAAATTAATAAATGTAAAAAATGGATTTGTCATATTATTAAATATTTATAATCAAATAACATACTCAATTACTAACTAGTTGCCAATGACCAAATACAATACCATTGATTATAAATACTATTATATTGCTAAAGTATTTATAATCCTATGGTAATATTAATTCTTAGAACAGAAATAGCAAAAAATAATGCAGGTCATTTAAAATTAAAGATCCACTAGACTACTTTCCATAATATAAATACCGGTTAACATATTTTATTTATAGTAGGAAAATATTTTTTTGAAAAAATATTTAGGCCCCAAATTCAGATTTGCATACCAATCCCATAGTGTGTAGTTGCGGCACTGCATGCAAGGATAGGCTACTCTTACAATTACAGTTTTATAAACTATCATTAAATTATTTCAAGTATTATTATGTTTGTTATCTGAATGATTTACAAATATGTGGCAAATATGCACGTTTGAAAAATTATTTTGAACATTTATGATTATGAACGTGGCTTGTAATACAGGTATATATAATGAGGAACCTCTAGTTACCAAAACTGCGCCTGTTTTAGTTATATGTTTAAGTCATATAAGATTGCCAAAATAATTCTAGCACCTAGCGCTGAAAGAGCTAAGGCCGGCCCTGTAAACATGGTACACGAGAGGAGTAATATTATGATTTTCGTGTATATATGTGCGCGCGCGAGTGTGTTGTGCACGGTCGACTGATGCGTTGAGAGTGCGAGCCACAGTTCGGTTTGGAATGCTTTTCGAAAACCTTGGAGATCATTTTTAGACCGACTCGAGAGAAAGTCTACGCGATCGTTGTGCCGGGAAATAAATTAAAAACGACTGCAGTTACGCGCGCGCGTGTAGTATAAATCATAAAAGTATAACACGCATTGTACACGTACCGGTAGGTGCTAAATCGGAAAAATCGTTAATTATAATTACGGATTTATCCCATTGCACTCCCTCGGCTCTCGACCGTGTACGAATTGAACGGAAAATTTTTACGGCCTATTTTTCGTATTTTAACGCGTAATACACAGGGTCGGCTCCGGGGGGGAGGTCTAGGGGTAGAGCCCCCTCCCAAGGCCGTACCGTATTTATAAAAAAATTTATATTGTTAACGAAAAATGCATAATATACTATTATACGGCACGCTCGAGTATTTAAATAGAGCCCATAGGGGTATTACGATGTACCTGCCATCTATATTGCGAAGAACCAATAAGGCTATAAACAAACTATATTAATATATAATATACTATGATATTATTATTTTTAATGTTCTAAACATGAATTGCGTAGCACGCATTTCTTGTACGGATTAAATTGTTTTTTTCTTTTTGTTATAAGATTTCGTTAAACTATAACTTGGGCCTAACCCCCCCCCCCCCCCCAAACAAAGGCTCTGGAGCCGCCCCTGGTAATACGGTATACGGCGAAACACTCACCCGGAAGCTGCGCTGGTCGGCTTTATGGACGGAGGCGCCACCGCAGTCGGTTCCGCCGAACCGAACAGATTTATGTACGTGCGTTTGCCGTCGATGGATACGAACTGCTGGTTCGGTTCTGCCGACGTTATCACCGACACTTCTCCTTTGCCTACGCCTGACGGTGATATATCTTCGGCTATAAGAAAAAAAAAATGATTGATGGATCGTTTGTCGTGTTGACAATAATATCAAATTAGACGCGATCTCGTTATTATTTATCAGTGATAACCGTACACTAAGTATCCGCTTAACCTTGTCGCCACTGTTCTTTCGTCATAACAAATTATAGATAACCCACTTGGAGGCCTTAATAAGAACAAGCGCGGCGATATATTTCCTCCCTGAAAATAACATTCACCCTTGGGGTGTTGCCAATAAACGATTTCTCCTTGTTGCTCTATGTAACGTCTATTATATCAATATTACCCTTTTTTTCGATTCGCTTATTGCACTTACTTGTAAAGTATTTACAAATTATAAATAAACCGTTTGATTTTGAATGAGAAAAAAAAAAGCTACACTACATACATGTGGATAAGAATATAATCAAAACAATTATGTAATTATACTAGTAAATTATTTAAACGTATCGGTGTATGCTTACGGGTGAGCAGTGCCGGCTTATCTCCAGGTCCTTGGATGGCCGACACCATTATGTCAAATACGTCTCCTTGACTGGGCACCTGCACTTGAATGGGACGTCTTTGGCCACCCATGTGTGGTTTGAATTCCGGATCGTCCAAAACGATGCCGGGACGCGAATAATACGGGAACCCTTCTGTTAAAACGTTCCGTTAGAAAAATCGTACAGGAAATATTATATTATTATTAATTAATATATATATGTTTTTCAAATAAATATTTCTTTGTAACATGTATATTCAAGTGAGTTGGACGTATTGCTATAACGGGTTACATTCGAAAAAAATTTTCGGTAGGATAAAAACGTTTTGTCACCTAAAAATAACTTTCAACCAATAATTGATAATACTAAAATCGAGAAACTATATATTGTGGTCTAGTGTGTCTGTTATTTGTTTCTTAACACTGCAGTCAAATATGACGTACAATCTGATAAGCTGATAAGTGATTAAAAGAAACACGTGGTGGAGAAAACGATGGTTTTTTTTTTATACAGATTTCCGTAAAAAATTGTTATAGTTATAATTATTAACGTTTACGAAGAAAGTTCGTAAATTGTTACTATACTGTCTGTCTGAAGAGAGTTTTAATATTTTTTCACTAACAAGAGTTATTTAAATTGAAATTATAGCACGTAACTGGATTAATTATGACATTCCTTCACTGTTCACTGTTTATAAAATTGGGCATCATATTATATATATTGAGGTTGATACCAAGTCGAAAGGGATGAGATGAGGGAGGAGGTTCGGTGACGTTTTTAGTATTAAGAGCTTAACCGTTTAATCATTTTTATCTAAATAACATAAAGCTCTTTATGCAAGAGTTTGATGTTTAGGAAGAGTACAGAAATGTCAAAAGAGGCTTGTGTCCGAATTGGTCCAGAGATTAAAATGTCTATACCATATAGTTGGGTCCCATAACAAAATGTATATAAAGCCTATTTTATATGTATTTTAACGCTTGGTTTTACCATTTTTAATATTTTTTCGTTTCAGCAAAAATTATAATTGTAAACGAAACCCGATTGTAGATAGTCCTATAAGTTTATTCGGATCAGGAGTAAAAATATTGCGCTATTGGATAGTAGAACGTTTTTACATTAATCCTTGATACTAGGGATGCACCCCAAAATAAAGGGCACCCAGTAAATTTTTATGACGGAAAAAACGGTTTAGAGAAAACGTAGGTGGTCGTTGTTTGTCTACATATGTATTCGACACGTGACACTCGGTTTTCGAAAATTTGTTTCTTTTTTCACGTGCAAACGTTCGGAAAAAAAGTATTAAACATATGATCAAATGGCGACTACGAGCGTTGGTCGGGGACTAAAAGCGGTGAACGGTGGTTACCAGATTGTTGCGGGGTTTTTTTGACGGGCGCCGTCGGTTTGCCGGTCAGCTTGCTGTCGGTTGGCTTGTGAACGTCCTCGCGGTGCGGTTCCTCCGAGGTGGACGGCTCGAGTACGACGACGGCCGAGCCCACGCCCGTGATCTGCTCGCCGGCCAAGGTCGTCTCCGGGCGCGCGGGCGTCGCAGTCACCGGTGCCGGGGCGGAGGTCGTGGTCGGTGCGGCCGCGGTCTCGGGCTCCTTGACGAACACCGGCGACGCGGGCACCGGCGACGTCAGATGATCGACGATCTTGGATACTTGCACGCCGATCACTCGGGTCGCGTTGATGTCGGCGGTGGTCTGTTGCTGCGGTGTCAGCGGTGGCGGCGACGACGATGGCGGCAGCGGTGAAGACGATTCTGCCTTGACGTTCGGTTTCTCCGTCGTAGGCGATCCATCCGTCGTAGGCCTGTCAGTCAGGTTGGTCGGTTTGTCCGTCGGTTTTTCCGTCGTCCTCTCGGACTGCGGCCACTGGGACGAAGACGGCACCGTGAACTTTTCGGTCGTGCCCGGGTCCCGGTCGACGGCGAACAGATTGTATTCCTGTTGCGGCTTGACCGACGCCGTCTGGTGGTGCATGGGCCGCTTGGACGGCGCGGTGGAATGCGCCTGCTGATCGTCGTACAGGGTCGGTGGTCCGAGTTCGGCGCCTCCGTCGTTGGTGGGCACGAGCTGCTCGGGAAGCGGCACGCCCGTCAGGAACGGTTTGATAAGGTTGGGCGGCTGGGGCGGCAGCGGCCGGACGGGCTGCGGCACGTCGAACGGATACGGTGGCGGGTCTTTGGGTTTGTTCTGTTGCTGCTGCTGGTGCTGCTGGTGCTGCGGCATGGGCACGAACGCGGGTGGTTCCAGCACGACCGTGGCTTCGGATATGCGTGGCGGCCCACGGTTGTTGATGCGCGTCTTGATCGGCTGCCTGTAACCGGGCTGGCCCTGTTGCCCGTTGAGCAGCTTCACGAACCCGTCCAGAATGTCTTCCATGTCGCTATTGCCGCCCGCCTTACGGGTCTGCTGAGTGTCCGCCGTTGCTGCTGTCCTCGACGACGGCGCATCCGTCTGCTGTTGGTGCGGCCGTTGCGCCGCAATACTGGGCTCCGTCGGTACGAGTGATCTGCCACGCGACGAAGCCCTCCTGGCTTCCCCCGGACCGCTTTTGGTCGGCCCCACGTACTCATAATAGTACTGCGACTGTGACGTATCCTCGTCCTGCGCCGCCGCCGCCGCGGTCCTGTCCGCCGCGTTGATCAGCTTTGAATCGTCGAACGCCGCGGCCGCCGCCTCCGCGGTCAACACCGTTCGCGACATCTCTTCGCCGCAATCGTTCCCGTCCTTGCAGACCACAGTCGGTTCGAACTCTTTGGCCCGGGTCAGTGCCATGCCGGCGGCATGCCGATCATCGATCTCGTTCGATTCACCCGTCTTCGTGGCCTCGTCCAGGTGACGCCTGCGCACCACTCGCACTGCTTCGTCCGATTCGCCGCGCGCCACACCTGAAACGTGAAAAACAAAAACGGTATAGTAATGTAAACGATACAACGATCAGTTATCGGATATTGTAATAATTGTGTGGGAACTTGAACGGCGGATCGCGATGACTCCTTAGTCGCATTGGCGGATCACCGAACCCGGATTTATTCCGGCGGTAAACACTCGCGTATAATTGATATACGATAAAACGAATCCGTTCTACTATTCGGACACCTGACGCGCGCAATATTCGAACCCGTTGCTTCGTTAAGTTCCTGTTTCTCGTTGTATTTGGGTTTTGAATCCGATACAAGGTCATAGCGATCCACTAGACCGTGGACCACCGACGCACGTCGTACCCACGTCGTGGCCGAACTAGTTACACTCCTCTTGCTGCCTATCTTTCGGCAAAAGATCAACAATAAAACACCTGAAGAGATCAACCGAACAGCAAACAATACGATTACGTTTCATAACTATCGGTTGGAAAGTTTTTAGCGTTCGGACGACAAAAGGGCGTTTATTACGAACTTGTTTCGACGATAGTCGTTAGCACGGTCGCTTTGTCTTGTCTACCCTCCCCGCGGAATCTCCGTTGTTTCCGTACAATCGTATGTGTAAATGCGCGCTCGTTTTATGCAATACTCAATCACGGACTTGACTACCCCCGTGGGTGTCGCGGCGGAACGCTTTCACCAGCAGTTTTTTATTTACATTTTATCGGCTGCTTTCACACAACGCGAACCGATGACGTCACATACGTACAGACATAACGAACGACGTCAACGCGTCCCTCTCCTCGTCCGAGGAAGTCTCCGCCGCGAACGCAGTGTCACAGTAACTGATATGAATGTACGTATCCGGATTTGAGAAGTCTTGGCGGTGTTTGCTCGGGATAATACGACGGATTTCACTTTCTCTCGGTGCATTACTTGCGATTGCCCGCTTCAAACACGCGACAAACGTACACAAATTATACGTGGACGGTACTATTTTATTCATACGAACGCACTGCAGGCGTGGGCAAACGACTCACGTGTGGTTCTTTTACGCTTTCTTGCGCCATCGCGAGCAAATGTAACATGAACACGAAAGCGGCACGTGAAATGAATTAACGATGTACACCTATATGACCGCGCAACGGTGTTAATCAGTTTCGGAAAAGTCGTAGATTAAAACAGTTAAAATCGCGCCGCGCGCATTTTTTAACGAACGCGAGGCGATTTCAAACGCGTTCTTATCGCTTATTATAATTAGTCTAATTAACCGGTTTCGGAGGGTCAGCCATCATTCCGACGTATTACAACCCATAACGGATGAACGGCATACAAGGAGAAATAGTTACCTGCACATGGCCACCCGCAGGAAAAATTGCACAGGGTACGAGATAAAAAATCACGTATTTTTATACTTTTATGTTCTAATAGGAATACAAAATAATAATTAAATTTATTGAATCACCAGTTCAAATTGTTGTTATAACAGGCCCTCTCCCTGTTGGAGAGGGAGCCAATTGTTTTGTCTTTTCATACCTAACGGTTGTCCGTGTAACTGTCGACGTTGTGTAACTCTGTTATGAAAATAACTCGGACTTGAAGTTATTAAAAAATTGTTTCATTTCTTTCTATCAATTTAACAATACATCGTACAACGGGCATTTAATAATCTATGATTTTCTTATATCAAACTGTACCAATATCAGTGCTCATATTTGTTAACAGATACGTTGTAGATAATTAAATATGATAATTAAAAGTAAATGAGATTCGAAAAATAAGCATATACGAATATAAATTTACATCAGCAATAAAAATGCACGAGTACGAAACTTGAAGCTTTCGGTGACGTGAAATGGACCGTAAAATGTCTTTTAGGTTGATTCGTATTCGATCTTGTCCTACAAACTCATCGTTATTGAGCCAAAACGCAACATGACATTTAACTGTGAATGCTCGTACCGGATACGATATTATTGCGATGTATTATTTGCAAATTTGCAATGCAAAACAAAATTCTTCAAACAAAACTAAAAGTATATGATTATCAAAATCAACTGACAATGAATATAATAATCAACAACTTTATAAGTTTATATTGACATATTATATGTGGTCGACGAAGTAATAGTAAATATTGTAGATTTCGGACAAAAAATCGATTTGAGTTCGTAAAGAGTCACGACGTTGGACGTCGGTCATTCGTCGTGGGCACTATTTACTAATCTGTAATGACTTTTAAAACTACCTATCCGATAAGCATTTCAAACGTACGCATTTAGCACGAGTGTATAATAATTTTGAAAAACAAAAACAAAACAACGGGCGACAGTATGTGCTTGATTTTATGTGGGGACATATTGTAAATAAGTGTAACTAATGAATAAAACATGTAACTAATGTGTAATAAGATGAATAAGAGAAAGTTAAATTATGTGCATAAAAACGATACCTGTGTATCTGATATGATGTTGTTCATACGAAATTATAAATTAGTCAGAAATAGATGCTTTATACTTGTAAAACTAAAACCTAAATGCATTTTTGATCGTAATAAGTACAGTACATCATCGGTTTACTGTTTATTGCGGTTATTAAATTTAAATACAAGTTGGTCTAATGAGTTTCAAAATGTTTTATAATTTAACGCTTAGATAATTATTTGTTTAACTGTTCAAAACAATTTCTCCGGTGCGAAATTGTTTACTGTTTACCGAGAATAAAGATTATGAAACGTTAAATAAAAATTGAACGGTCGCTTTCAGATTTAGTGTAACACATACGATGAAAATTACTAAATAATTATTTTTTGTCACTCGAAGCATGGAAATTATCGATTACGATGTATTGCGCATAATAGCAAATATTAATGTGTCGAACGAAATCGGTCTACACCGGTATCACGTGAGTGGAATAAGAGTTGGCGCGAGACTGGAGATTGTAATAATTACACGGGACTCGGTACGTACTACGACCCACAGGTAAGTGAACAAACGGTCGCGATCGATAATTCGGAGATAACATTGCTTTTTTCTTCAGTCGTTTGTTGTCTACCGTCGCCCGTAAATTGTTTGATGTGGAAAAAAAAATAATAAAGACAATCAGTTGTGAACGTCTGCGACACGACAACCGCTGTAATTCGTTTGCGCAAATTCAACATTTTTTACCTGAAAATCGACGACTCGTTTGCACACGACGAAATCAGTTATTTACGTGAAAATAAATAACTCGTTCGCGTACAATGACACATTCACACACATGACACATAAAGTTTCATGGACTATGGATATGGACGGTACAGTGGTGACTAGTGTGTTGACGACGTAAACTTTAATATGACGTAGAAATTTCTAATATTTTTGAATCTCGGTGAGGAAAACAATGTTTTAATAATGATAATTATAAATCTAGTGAATACCGTGTTTTAATGAGTGGATGTTCAAATTTTAGATTTACTAAGAAAAAATGTCCTGCGAGTGTTATTGTTAATGACTCAGACAAAATAATAAAAGTAACCAACTCTCGTGATCCTGAGGAGTATAATAAGCAACAACGATAAACAAACGAGTTCTGACACTAGGGATTTTTCGTCACAGGTAGCCAAAATATATGTGCGCAGTCGAGTTGTGCATTTTTGCGCGAACGAGTTGTAAAAAAGGTAAATGTGCGCAAACGAGTTGTAGCCCGCGACAACAACGACAATGGCTCGTCACGTGGTGCCGCGACGGTCGATTGCGACGCCGTATTCGCGGCAAACGAAACGGACCCGTATTTTCGACCTACGGCGCGGGTTGTCGCGACCGTAGTAATAACGATAGTAATAATCGTGACGACACCGACAGGAATTGTTTATCATTATCGTCTCGTCGAACGCTAGTAAGTAGTGGTATCCGGTGGTCCGGCTCCGAACAGTGAATTACACGGACGGTCTTGTACCGGTATCGCACCGCCGGGTGTGTACACGATGTACGAACCGCGGTCAAAGCGGTCGAACGGAGTTGCGCCGGCCGGACTACGTCGGTTCGACGTCAAAGCGGGTCGAAGCGCGACCGGAAAAACGCGCAACTCGATCGATCCGCGCATCGGCTGCGGCGCGTACGCCAATTGACCGGGGTTTAGATCTATGGTCAGATGTGCGATTACGGGTTTTCACGCCCGGGGAAAACGTTAAAATCACGCCCGATCGGCGGACCCCGATAATCAAAATACACTTCTCGAGAATTTATATCTAACGATTTTAATATACAATCGGTACTTATCGAGTTTTGACCGGATATCGGTATTCGACAGAGTCAAAAACTGATATCAAATCGGTTGTTAATGATTACAAAAGTTATACGCCCTCTAAAATGGTACGCCCGGGGATGGATCTGCGCGTACGACAAACGTTCGGATTTCGCGTTTCGTTACCGCGCGGCCGTGTTGGCGCCTGGATGTACCGCGAATCGGCGGTCGACATTTTCCGGTTTTATTTTTTTCCCGTAAACGTTGTCACTCCAGTAACATCGCGCGACGGTGATCACGTTTTGCGGATGTTACGAAAAAAAAAAACCAAATATTTTCCCGTGGAGACTAATCCCCCCCGGGGGAGGCATGGGGGGGGGGG